TACCTTCAGTACCTCAAGTACCATCAGTACCTTCAGTACCATCAGTACCTTTTTACAGATAATTTCCACTTTTTTGTGCTCATTTCTGCTTCTGTCAGCAAACATGTTCTTTTGCTTTCTTCTGTTAACTTAAACTTGTTACACCTTTTCAGCTAACTTTTTAGCATTTTTTAGCTAATTTCAGTTGTTTTTCAGAAGATTATTCAGCAATAAGCATTCACACTACATTTTTGCAGGAAATGCACTTTTCTCTAGTTTTCTATTATAATCTTTAAAAGCACTGTAGATTTAAAAATACATTTTGGTGTCCATGATATACTTATCCGGTGTTACAAATAATAAACTCTTACATGTTTGGTCACAATATCTTCAAATATTTATATCCAGAATGCTGTATTCAGAGTGCTGTTTTTATTGAAACAACAGTACTAATTTGACACGTACCTCACAAAACATGGGCAGTTTTTTGGCAAAGTCCACCACTCGAGTTATGGCGGGGGTGATAATTTTTGTAAACTGACTAAAAGCTTCGATATCCACCTTGTTTTCTTCAGCTGGATTTGTCATGGAGCCTTGACCAAAATCCTCGGGCTGAAAAATAAAACAAAACACACTCAAAAGGTGTCCAACATATAAACCACATGGTTCAGTGACATCATACAGCTTTACATAGAAGTTTAAAGATACGTAGGATAAACAGAAGCATTAAAGGAATTAAAAGGCCTGAGGGGTACTTATGGAACAAATAAACTCCAATTAAAGTTGAAATTTGGTGTCAACATCATAACGTCTTTTACATAAACGTGTTGGAGAAACTTTGTTTTCCAGTTTTGACGTTAAAATTGTAATGACAAGATTAAATAAAAAAGAACTAGAACAATTATTAACAAGTGTAAGATGTTTAAGTAAAAGTGATTCTGCAGATTCGACCACAAGGAGAGTCGAAACCAGGGGTGCCCAAACTGTTTTCCCGAAAGGGCCAAAATTAAAAATTTATCAGAGTTTTTGTGGGCCAGATGCAATAATATAATACATGAAATGCAAATAATTCTTTAAGTAAAGTCCTTTTATTTATTATACAGTTATTTATCCTTCCATTCTGTATAAAGAACATTACAGAACAGGCTGCTGTGGTGGTGGTGGTGGTGGTGGTGGTGGGGGGGGTGTCTGGGGGTCCTCCCCCAGAGAATTTTGAATAAAGTAGATGCCATTTCCTGCATTTTGGTGTATTTTACAAATGTTTATTACATGTAAACATGTAAACTCTGTTATTATTGAAATCTCTCTGACCGCAAACGTTCTTAATGCAACACATCTGCAGCTCTGCAGGTAAGAGACGTTCACTTCAGGACAAGCTGAGGTCGCTGACTGGTCAGTTGCTGACTGGTCAGTTGCTGACTGGTCAGTTGCTGACTGGTCAGTTGCTGACTGGTCAGTTGCTGACGTGCCTACTGGACTGATTGACAGGTGGCGTGACTCATGCAAAACCATTATAGATTTTACTGGCCCGTTTGAGACTGTTGTCATTTAGTCCATATTTATTCAACATTCAATATTTTTGGTGAATCTAAGGTTTGAGAACTGTTTCCTTACAAAATCCTAATGATGGTTTCTTATTGTTTCAGAGATGCTGAGTTAAAATTTAGGGGTGCTCAAGAAGAGTGTGTGATGGGCACCTCCATGATGCTCAGCTTTGTCAAAGGAAATGTTGTTCAGCAGCAAGAAACTGCAGAGACAGTATGAAGACTGTCTAAATAAAATATAAATTATTAAAATAAATAAAAAATTAATGCACAAATTAGTCACTCCAGCTGTGTAGTGTCATTACACTAGTCATTGGGCCAACTTTCCATCTAACATCAAACTTGGAATGACTGAGTGTAAACACATTGATTCTTCAAAAGGAATTTTAATATAGTAATGAGGACAGCTTGGCGGGCCAACTTTGGGCACCCCTGGTCTAAACTCAGTGCGTGTCTTTAAAACTCTTATTGTGAAAGGCTGGAACAAGTTCTGAGTGCTGCTGCAGGAGGAAGTGACCAGTTCTGGTCCCTTAAACCTGCTTTAAAAAAAATATAAAATTAACATATGTATTTATAAATTAGTTTTATTACAATTTTACTTTGCAAGCACAACGTGCAAAGTTGCATGGGGGGCTGAATGACTGCAGAGCAGCTCACAAATACGCAGACATGAACAGCAGTATGTCGATTAAATGTAATTCAACGAATTGGAAGTAGGCAAGAAGCAACGAAGACCGTCGCAAAATACTGACTGAGCAGCGAATCAGTAACTTTATAAACCCTTCAATTAAAATACTGTATGGTGTTTAGGCAATAATTCAGCAAATGTAGTCCTATAACCAACAGAAATAATAATAATAATAATAATAATAATAATAATAATAATAATAATAATAATAATAATAATAATAATAATAATGCCGTACTTTCCGCATTAACACGTCGCTTAGCCGTATAAGTCGCATCTATTATGCATCACCGTTGACAACCCAGAAATGTGGGCCAGTGTTGAGCCAAAAATCGACTGGCTGCCAAATGGTGGCTGTGAGAGCAAGCACGGGAGAACTTTAACAAGATTAACACTTAAAAACAATTATTTGTTTGCTCGAAATTATAGTACAGGTGTGTCTCAGTCGAACTTTTCCTTAATAAACTCGCTTTAATGGTCAAAACAGCTGCATTTCAAAAATCGATTTGCGGCTGCGGGAGTGCGCCAAGGGAGGACTCGCTGTGCATTTCTTCGACATTTAACAAGATAACCACCTAAAAACAATTATTTGTTTGCTTGACATTATAGTAAAAGTGTGTCTCAGTTGAACTTTTGCTTAATAAATTCACTTTAATGGTCAAATCAGCTGCATTTTGCCTGCGCAGTGAAATGCAGCTGATTTGACATTTGCTCCAGGAGTTCCGGAGCAAGACGAAGGTGGTTTGTATGGCAATCCAAGTGTCTCATTAATAGCCACTTTTACCTATTAATGAGACACTTGGATTGCCACATTAGTCGAGGGTCATCTAGTGGCAGAAAATATTAGTGTTCAATATTTTCCATGTCAGAATGAATGAAAACGGTTATATCTCAGTCAAAAATTGGTTATAAATATGGGAGAAAAATGTATATTTGTCGCTTCGGTGGATAAGTCACAGGACTTGCAAATTTATGCAAAAAGGTGCGACTTATACGGCAAAAAATATGGTAATAATGGTGCATTTTGTTTTGTGGCCCCCTCTCGGGATCAAATCCCAGCCAGTTCTGGGTGCAGTTTGCATGTTCTTTATGTGCATGTGTGGCTTTTCTCCTGGCTCTTGTGGACTTGTGACCTGTCCAGGGTGTGCCCCGCCCCTCGCTCTGCATCCAGAATGGAAGCTAATGGATTGGCTTTAATATATAAAAAAAACTATTCAATCAGGTTCAGGAGCACTTAGGGGTTCATTAAGTCTTGAAAAGTCTACTTTTTTTCTCAACAGTGAAACTTTATCAATAATATTTCTACTGTAATCTTGTCATTTCAACTTTAATGTCCTTCCTATTCCTTGTTCTTTTTTTATTCATTTCCTTCTGAGCTGCTCTGTCACTTCATCATCAGTATTTAAATGATCAATGAGGAATTCAACAAATGTTTGTACAACGAGACAAAGCTAAAATATGAATCTTGTTGGTTTTAGCTACTGGTTCTTACCTTAGTATCCTTCACCCCTGCTGCACTCTGGTCAGAAGTATAGAATAAATTACATGTTATTTCATTAAGAAGCATTGCTTCCTCGACCTGTTGGATAATCAACAGGAATTGTGAAGTTTCAATAAAGGACCCGTGTCAAGTCAGCTAAAAGAAATAAAAACAAGTTAAACTTGATGACAGATGAAAGTGCAGAAAGAAAACAAGCAGAAAAATGAAAACAATCAGTGTTCTGATGGTTCCTACGGTAAGATTTAGATCCACAGATTCAAACGTCCGATAGAAACGTGGATCAGAACAATTGAATAATAATCAGCCGTAGAGACAAGCTTTTATTCTGCTCGCTTTAAAAGTGACATTTCCTGCCAATAAAATCACGAGCCCATGTTGTTTGTGTGAGAGAATAAAAATGCTGACGTGACTGTAAATCCTGCCGTAGGAAGCAAACTTTAATCCACAGCAGACAGACTTTAACTGGACAGAGCCATTAGATGTAACAGAAAAGAAAGCAAGTTTGTTAAAAAAAATTAAATAAAAAAGCAGCATGAAATAAAAAGCTACAAACGGGGGAAAAAAGAAAAAAGAAACATTAAATTAATCAGAGCGTTAGGAGCTGCAAGTAAAGATTTTTCTGGTAAAACACAAGAAAGATGTTCCGTTTTAAATTAGTGCTGCTGCGTTCAGGAGCACTTTTCTCCACCGGTCAGCTAACTGTCCTCACTCTATATGGAGATACAAAAACAATACATGGACATGTTAACACAGGGAGACAGGAACAACCGTCATGGTGTGGAGAGAGGAAATAGGGGCTGGAGGGAGGGAGGGATGGGGGAAGGCAGAGGAAATCACTGCAATGACGACTGTGGTGAGAAAGGAGGACAGGGTGTCTCACCAAGAACTTCCTCTTCTGCTTCCAGTGGTTTCCCTGTGCGTTGGTGGCCATGTGGGCCTCGGTCACCAAACGGATCAGGTCCCACTCCTCCTGGGTGGGCTCTAGTCGGTCCCATGCCGTCTTCTGTTGTTCCTCTCGGCGCCGGCGCTCACGGTTCTCTTCGATCAGTCTACGTTTTGCTAACCTCTTGCTGTCATCTAACACCACTGGAGCCAACAAGAGAGGAAACACAGAAAAACACTCTCCACAATAAATAACACTTAAAAACATACACGTACAATTCTGTAGTCGTGCACAAATGGGTTTTTACAAGTACAATAAAGTAGTCCCTCGCTACTTCGCAGTTTGACTTTAGTGGACTCGCTCTTTGGAGGTTTGGCAACGTAAGATTGTAAACGACACTCGATTGTCAACTTTATTATTACTCACGTGATTGGGACAGTACAGGATGTAAATATCCTGCAGCATGTTCAATAATCCAGGTAGAAAAATCTAAAAAAGTTAAATCCGGTCCTCTGGACATTCAAAAAACAAAACAAAACAAAAAAAACTCTAGAAACGTTTCGTCAGGATGTAAAGGTAACGAAAAAACTTTGGACAGTTGCCACCATTTGTAGTTTTCTTTAAAAAAGCCTACACTGGTCAAAAGAACTACACTACCCAGAAGCCAACAGTGCTTCCAGTTGCTTTCTGCCAAAATGGCGGGAAATTTATGCAACGCAAAGTCAGAAGTAACGATCTATCTATTAAAATGGTAAATGGACTGTACTTATATAGCTCCTTTCTATCTTATCAAGGTACTCAAAGTGCTTTACACTATCCGTGCCCCCATTTGTCACATTCATACACCGATGGGACACACATCGGAGGCAATGAGGGGTTCAGTGTCTTGCCCAAGGACACTTCAGCATGCGACTACTGATGGAATCGAACCCCCAACTTTTGCATTGGAGGACAACTGCTCTAACCACTCAGCCACAGCCGTCCTGATATTAAGCTCACAGAACTGGAAGGAAAGTCGCAAATAATCCTGAAGCTCAATAATGTACGTGCACATCAACCTGGACAGGATGGTGGACTTCGTCGCTGCAGGGCAAGTCTGTAGAACCAAAACTGAGCAACTGAACATTGCAAGAGTGTGGGAAGGGTTTATAAATCCTTATATATATATATATATATATATATATATACTAAAATAAATACAGTGTTCCTTCTTCACGGTTTTTCCCCTATCGCGGTGGTGTCTGGAACGCAACTTCCGCGATAATCGAAGGACTACTGTATACCAAATGTCTTAATTTAAGTGTTTTATACATATACACACGTTGCCGTAGACAGAATGGCAATGGGCGCAGAGGTTAGAGAAGGCCTGTGGTCAAGAGGTTGCCTGATTGAATCCTCTGACTGTTACTGTACGTCAAAATGTGGGTGGGAAAGGAGAAGTACCCACACCTGCCTCCATCCTCATTTGCCCCACTCTGGGCCTTTAAGCAAGGTGCTTAACCCCCACCGTCTGCTACCCCAGGTGCCCTATATGGCAGCTCTCTGCTCCACACAGAGGGCTGTGGTAGCTCCGTGGTCTGTGGTTGCGTCAGAAGGACATCAAGTGTAAAAACAATCACCAAGTCTTCGTTAGTTCACTGTCGTGAACCCTGAAGAAGGAGCAACCGAAAGAAGAAGGTCTATCTGGCCCTAACGCTGGATGTGTCTCTGTGATCGAGAACAATTACAACATTAGTTATTAATCGTGTTGTTTTATATTACCACAAATATTTTCCCTTTTTTTTTTTTTTTTACTTGCTTATTGTTTGAACTTTCTATGAAGAGACTGTTACATTTTAGCATTTACTAGAAACTTTCTTCCATTTCATCCGGATTAAAACGAGCAATGCGCAGCAAGCTATTGTGTTCCCTTCTATTATTTTTTATTTTATTTTCTATTTTATAAATGGATACAGGGAAGGGCTAGTCATGCATGAACTTTCCTTACGCAATTAATTTTCTTGACATTGTTTTTTAAATACTTTGAATTCGTTTTATTGCTGTTCTCAAAAACAAAAGGTCAGCATAATGTATTTTTTTAAAAATCCCTCTGAAAGTGAAACACATAAGTTGTCTTGTCATAACTCTTAATTTATTAATTAATAAACTCACAGCTAGGCCTGTCACAATAACACATTTTGCGGGGCGATTAATTGTCTCAGAAATTATTGCGATAAATAATAATATTGTTTGAAACTTGACAATAATTAGCAATTATTGTAAAATTTAAAAATAAATGTTGGTTAATTTGTTTTGACTGTAGTACCTTTTTTGATCACTGGATGGAAGTATAACACTGTTTGAACCGAAGGATGGATAGTGAGGGAGCGAGCAGCATGTCTCTTTAAGAAAAATGGAAGGTAGACCCCTTAATGTGACATGGGCTGTCTCTCTTTGGTTCTCAAAATGGCGGACGCTCTGTGTGGTTTGAGCTGTTTAGCATAGCATTTTTCACATAAAACTTTTAATAAAAAAATCAGTAAACAAGTTCTCAGCTTCTTTTTGCAGAGAAAACAACTTTTTACATGAAGGCACGGGTTTCAACTGTGAATTTTGGAGCTTTGACAAGATGGAGGTTTTTTTCCCCAAGGTCGGCCTGTTAGCTTAGCTCGTAGCTTAGCTTCTCAGCTTAGCTGCTTTTAACGATCCAAAAACGCGATTTTGGACAATTAAAATGGATTTTAAAAAGAAAGGGAGGGGTCAGTGAAGAGCACCAGAGTTGAAGCTTTTGTCATCCAGACAAGAAGAAATGATGAAGCCGATAAATGAAAATGAGGTCGATAATTTTAATTTATCATGCAATTAATTGATTTCTTGTTTATTGTGACAGGCCTACTCACAGCTGCTCAAAATGTTTGTTGAACTGGAAAACTTTTTGCTTGCATAAAGTGCCATGGAGAAAATCCATCAAAACATCTGTTAATTGTCTTGACATCTGTAATTGGAGTTTTGTTTTTCGGATTTAGTAAAAACCTCCAAAACAAAACGTTCTGATCTGATGTTTCAACCGTCTGATGCCGTCTCATCCACGTTTACAAGAAGAGTCTTACATCATGAACAAGTTGGTAACCAGTTAACCATTTTTTATAATTTGTTGTTGTCAAATGATTAGAAATAAGTGATTTTAGCACAGCGTTATATAGTTTTCAGAAATGGCTCAAGTTTGAACCAGAGTTGAGATCTTGGTGAGAAGCAAACATCAGACAGTAGTTGGTGTGAAGATGTACGTTGCTGTAAACTCACAGTCTGTTGCCATGCCGACAGCGATGCACTTCTTGAAGCGACATTCTTGGCACTGGTTTCTGGTCACTTTGTCGATCACACATTTCCCCTCGTACTTGCAGGCGTATGTTGGGCTGAGATTTTTCTGGATTGTCCTCCTGAAGAATCCCTACAAAGGAAAAAAAGGTTGACGAGGAACTAGCAGTATTTGCAGCTGCTGTTCCCAAACATCTGGCAGTTGTTTGGTACCTTGCAACCTTCACAGGTGATGCAGCGATAGTGATAACCCGTGGCTTTGTCCCCGCAGACGACACACAGCTCGTCCTTGTCCAGGTAGCTGGGTATGTACCCTTTAGAGACAACAAACACATCATAAGTCAGGAAAAACTATAAAAACCTGACATAACTCAATAAGGTTTTTTTTTTAAAGAAAAATGATTACTAGTATATTGTTTTAAAGGTTTAATAAACAATTGTATTATGCTTAAAATTATATTTAAACCCAGACAGTAAATGTTCTGTCAAGTGCAAACGTGAGCCACGTGCCATGTTGGGTTATTAAATGAAGTTCCCATCCATCCGTCCGTTCATCCATCCATCCATCCACCCAACCACCAACCCACCTATTCATCCATCCACACAACCACCCACCCACCTATTCAGCCATCCATCCATCCATCTATCCATCCATCCATCCATCCATTCACCCACCCACCCAACCACCAACTTACCTACCCATTCATTTGTTCATTCATCCACCCACCCACCTATTCATCCATCCATCCATCCATCCATTGACCGACCCACCCAATCACCAACCCACCTGTCCATCCATCATCCATCCACCCACCCAACCACCAACCCACCAATTCATTCATCCATCCATCCATCCATCCATCCATCCACCAACCCACCTATTGATCCATCCATCCATCCATCCATCCATCCATCCATCCATCCATCCATCCATCCATCCATCCATCCATCCATCCAACCACCAACCCACCTATTGATCCATCCATCCATCCATCCATCCATCCAATATCCTTACCCCACTTCACAGGGACACAGAGACAAACGAGATAAACAACTATTCACTCTCTCACTCACACCTAGGGACAATTTAGAGTTACCAATCAGACTAACATGCATGTTTTGGTCTGTGGGAGGAAACTGGAGTACCTGGAGGATACCCACTCAGCAATGAGAGAACATGCAAACTCCACACAGAAAGGCCCCGGCTGGGCTTTGAACCGGGGCGACCTTGCCGAGATGCGGCAGTTCTACCAACTGCACCACCGTGCTGCCCTTTGTGGTGATATATTCTAAATAAACCAAGTGGAATGATGGCAACTACACAGACAGCTGTCACATTTCACTCCACCAGCACTTTGCAGATATCATTTAGATTTCAGGGACTTTAGTTAGCAAATATAGTTTACAAGAGTGGTCAGATTTGAAGTAGATTTCCAGTTTTTATCATCAACCTAAATATATTGTATTAAAATTGAAATAAAGATTGATTTAAATTGATTTAAATGAAGACAATTCAATCTGCTGGCTACTCTACCTTAGATAAATATCATTACTGATCAAATGTTTATGTATGTGAATGTTTCTGTTCAATGCAATGAGATGACTTCTGTTGTGACTTGATGCTATACAAATAAACCGAGTTGAATTGATTTCTGCACCTACAAGGCTGATGCAAACAGTTCCTTTCCTTTGGACCACGGTTCTGCAGGTGTCTCAAACAGAACCAGAAGTCTCGTTTGTTCGCAGTCAGCACGGATAGCTCATTAAATGTAACATTAGGAGCTGAGGGAAGGCTCTGTGATTACATTTATATTCTTTATGAGACATGTTAGATTCGTTTTCATTCAATGCTTTTTTAAAATTTTTGATTAACTTGTTTTGTTTATTTTGTTTCTTTTAAATGAATGAATAAATGAGTAAATAAATAAATAAATGCTGCATGTAGCTACAGAGCAGACAGATCACAGACGGACCATCTTTGGAAACATCACTTTTCTTCTTATAATCTTTTACACACTTGTCAGTGTCTTGTTTTTTACTTTGATGAACACATTAATTCCTGGATGCAAAAAATTGTTAATGAGCTGTTAAATGTGCAAATGCTATTTTGTATGCAACATGTATTGTATTTGTTCTTTCATTAGAATAAAATGTATTAATTAGCATGAAGATAAATTCTAGTTTAAATAAACTAGTTACAATTCAACTAATTATAAATTATTCATATATTTTAAAAACTTGGCTTGAATTTAACTATCAACTGAGTACCACCAAATAAACACAAGTTAAAAAGTATACAATTTATTTAACAGAAAATATACCAGACTAGTTAAACTTAAAATTTTCACATATTACAAATATAAATAATTATAAGGAATTTATCTAATTTATTTGGATAATTAAAAAAATATATTAAAACTGAACTTAACTTGTAAAAATAGATTGTTTTATTCAAATGCAATTTATGTAATTTTACTTAAAAATGTTGGTTTGATCTGCTCAATAGTTCAAATTGTTTTGCTAATTTTATTAGTTAAATTTCAACTGTTTTCTTTTAAATAAAATACTTTTTGTACTCATAATTGTTTATTTATTAGTATATGATTAAGTTTTGATAATTAGTTATAAACATGTCATGTTTAAGAGAAAATATACTTGAACACAGATTTCTAATGTGTGTATTTGTCAGGTAGTGTGCAGGGTTTATAAGAAAACAAAGAGTTTCATGCCTCCAGTCCAACCTCGCTCCGTGCGCGGTGCCGGCCTTAACGAGATCAGAGCTCTAAGTAGCTCCAGGATGAGAGGGGCACAAACTGATCAGTATTTTTTCTTAAAGTTTAAGAAAAACAATGATTCCTTCAACATCAGCCTTCTGTTCCATCAACAGGAATCAATACACCTTGGTCAAAGCCACTGGAGCCTGACTCAAAGACACGCTGACCAGATTTAATTTGAAAAGGCCAGACATTGATTCATTGACCACGGAGGAGTCCTTACGCCTAACAAATCAGAACATCACATACAATCATACAAGTGGAAAATCCACTCCAACATGCCTGACACGCAGCAATGAAACCAACTCAGAAAAACCAGGAGGACGCGACTGAGACTTGTACCTTTCCTGTGAGCCCCCTGCATCCACTGCAGGTGGGAAAAGTCCGGTTTGATCTCTGGAAAATACTCAGGCTGGTGGTGGAAGTGGCTGAGAGGCACCTCCGTGTTGCAGAACTCGGTCTTAAAAGAAGACGGGCCCGCGGCGTACGAACACGAGTAGTGCTGGCTGGGGTGCCAAGCCTGCTCCATGCAGGGCGGGTGGTGAAGCGGCTGCGGTTCATAGTGTCCATACCCGGGCCCCTCGCCTGGGTACATGCAGTGTTCCCCACTGCTCTGAACACTGAAGCCCCCAACCCCAGCATGGGGCATCTCATACACGTCTGGCATGCAGAAGTTCATCATAAAGAGCAGGGGGGGGGGAACTCTACTTAAGAACTCTTCTCACTGATTACCAAAGAAAACAAATCTAATGTTTAGTTCTATAAAGAAAATATAAACTTCAGGAAGCAGAACCAACTAGAAGCACAAAGCTTTTATCCAGCAAATCCACACACCCACAGACTACACCTCGCACCGCCCCACCTGCTACCACCCGCCACCACCCGGCCGAATTGGGAAGCAGAGATTTATGACGACGCAGGGCTCTAATCTGACACTCCGCAAATCCTTGATCTGCCACTTCCACTGGCAACGTCACAGATTAAGATCTTTGTGCAACTCCAGTGCGGACTGACTGACTTTTTATTTTTCCCCACAGAGTAAAAAACAAGACCACCCCCAATAAAACAACCACAACTCAGACACACCAACAGAATCTGTAAATGAGCTTCTGGAGAGCCACATATTATTTACTAAAACACTAAGAAAACATGCAATCAGCTATTTTTAAGGTTTCAACAGCACAAAACATTAAACACCTTATAATGGGGACTGCAAGTTCCAGAATATAGATGAATCGTTCATTTTAAGATAGAAGCACAAAAGTTTGTGAAATATATATTTTGATATATGCCCATTAAAAAAAACAATTCCATGAATTATTTTAAGGATAAGAGTGGGAACTCTTAGCCTAAAGTCAACACCCTCTAAAATATGAATGACTACTTATTAAGGACAGTTTGTGTAAATACAGACAATACCCTTTTATTTTATAGATGCATTTAGGTTTGTTACATTTGTATGATATGAATGCCATTCATTAAATCATGCATCTTACACACAATAAGGCTATGTGGACAGTTTGATGTCAAAATACAAATATCGCAAAGACACTGAGCTGGAGCCTGAATAGTATAGCTTGACTGTTTCATATTTATATATTTGTTTGGTTATTGTACGTTAAACAATGCGTTTGTTGTATAAATTTAAGAATTGCCAGAAATATGAGGCTACATACAGCATCCATTTTACAGAAGTTTTGAAAGGAAAATTAAGTTAGATTGTTGCAGGGACAATACAAATAGCTCTTACTAATCCTATTGTTGATTAGGTACCATTCACAATAAAACAAAATACTTAACTGTATCAGACTAAAGTTGGTCAAAACTGGTCTATACATAAATCAATGCAATACTAAAACCTGCCAGCAGGTTTCCTCATACAAAGTACAACTATCTGCTGCACATGTTTACAGGTCTTGCCTGCTGCATGTTCCACAACGGGCACACAGAGCAGTGCAAAGAAGGCCTTGCAGCATTTGCAGATACCTCAGCATGCTTTCCTACAACCACAATGAATACATTCTTTACAAGCCTCGGAGGCTTTCAGCTAGCTCCGACCACAAAGGTCTCCACTGATCTTCAACTTGTGCCATCTCCAATTCCCCAGGTGAAGGTGCCTTTTTTAGTCTAGGGACCAGTGCTTGACTCCAAATTAATGATGACTGATACACTGAGTACTTATGTTTCCTGAGTGCTCCTTGGTTTGGGGTATTTTTCCAATGACTTGGTACCTTTGGCAGCTAGCTTTTGGCAAGCCATGCTTACACTTGTCTCCTCCAGTGTTCCAGAGTACAACCAAATGACAAAGTGCTCCAGTGTCGCAAACATATCTGAGGTGATGTGCTTTATGTACTGAGAAAGCTGGGTAAAGACTCAAGTAATATCAAATACCTCCCATAGCTCATGGGCAGATTTTTAAAAACGGTTTCCTTCAAATGCTGATATAGAATCAAATCCAGTGAACGAGTGGAAAAAATTAAGATTTTGCCATTTTTCCAGTCCTGGTGCTGACGGTATTTGCAGAAATGATATGGTATGATTTGCCAACACCAAAGACCAGTCGTAATTTGGCTTCTATTTTCTGTACCATGGCTACTGCCAGGACAACCACATCAATGTCTACTGTGTGCAACAATATTTTGTGATTTTCAAAGTCAGCCACATGTTTGGCATCCAGCAGCATTCGTACATCAGCCACATTGTGTGTGCATCTCTCCATCCCAACACTATGGATGTTAGCCTTGAACACGTCTTCATCATATGTACTGCACAGCTCCTTCTAGCCTACAATGAGTGCTTAGTGTCTAGGTAGTGAACTAACTATTTTATTATCATTGCAAAGGAAAGCAAGTCACTTCTTTGGGATGATACCTCGTCTTCTCCACATCTCTGCACTCCTGTTCCTCTTCACTCCAGAGTCTCTTCCTTGAGGCTACCTTTGATATACCTGTCCCATACAATATCTAGTCTGTTTACCTCCTGACGTTCAGATATAATGTAAGGGATGAATCCATTGTCGGAATAGTCTCGAGTTCAATGTAGTGGCTTTTTCACGTTAATGATAATTGCTCCATCAAGAATCTTCACACTGAATTCTTGTACAAACATACAATCAATGTACTGAGAATCACCCTCCAGACAAGACATCAAGTCAGCCTTCTTCCCGTTCCTCGTTCTACCATCACTTGACAGGGCAGGTGGATCGGGCTGGGTTTTGGATTCAGAAAGCAAAACAGTCAAGTGCCCATCACCATACAACACATATACATGTATGTACAACCTTCTACTGTACAGTTTTGTTAGTTTCATGCATGAATGTTCAGCAGTGAGCCACTCTTATACACATTGTCCATTTGGTTATGGTAAATGTTAAATGGACTGTACTTGTATAGTGCGTTTTCATCTAGTCAAGATACTCCAAGCGCATTATAACCCAATCTGTGCACTCATTTACCCATTCACAGCACTCTACTAGATCTCTACAAAGCTAAACTGAATCAGTAGAGTGCTTTAGATCACATTCATACACCGATGGGACACATAAGAGGCAATGAGGGGTTCAGTGTCTTGCCCAGGAACACTTCAGCACGTGACTGCTGGTGGAATCGAACACCCCAACTCTCCCATTGGAGGACGACTGCTTTAACCACTCAGCCACAGCCGCCCCACTAGCTCGTTGCATTTCTGTGCTCCATCTGAGATGTACATAGAAGAGCTAGAAAAATCAACTAGATAAGTCTGCTAGAGTGCATGGTTTAGACGCTGACTACAATCTACAGCTGCAAACAGACCTAATGCAGAAAGTGCTCAGTCAAAAGTCTAGTAGTCATATGCATACTTTTACTATCGACTTTTCAAAGTTCAGTTTTGTTTGTTTCATCAAGGCAAGAATGAGTTTCATAATTTTATAATCCAGTGATTTTGATAATGGTTAAGAGAAACTGAAGCAAAATTGACAATATGTCATTTGACCGATCTTATTTTTCACCTATTTTACACTAACAGCAAAGGTTCCGATGTTTCAAAGAATACTTTACAAACAGAATATCATGCATCCTAGAGCACAAAAATAATATTTTGTTGGATTTCTAAGGCTCAGTTATATACCGTTATATTTAGACACCAAGTTTGCATCTCTAGTCTAACTAGACATGTGCTCCTACTGCTCATTCTGAAGAAAATTTGTAGGATCTATAAAATTTTGGAAACCATTTTGAAAGAATCGCTCATATTTGCTGTTCCGTTCATATGGATGGTACTGTTCCTAAACTGGGTTCAAATGTTTAAAATACTATTTATACCAAATTTGTGCTTCTATTATAAAATAAACAAATTTTCAGCTTAGAGCCTCTACTATTAAGTTATATTTAAAAGTAAGAAACACACTTGAAACAAAACAAAACTATTTAAATGTAAAATTCATTCTTTTTGACAACTGAAGCATTTAGTGAATAACTGAGACGCTGCAAAATCTGTTTAAGATCAAATGCTTATTAGTCTAAACATCAGCTATACTCAGCCATATTGATCAGACTTCCTGTTCAATAAACTGGGGATAAGCCACATGGTCAAGATGAGGGTTTGGTCCAAGATGAACCTTCAGGCCGATGACTTTAGGTAACACACAGAAACATTTACAAACTATTAATTCCTCTTTCTGTCATGACGTTGTGCAGTAGTTACAATTATTCTTTATTTATTGCTCTTCTGCTCATAGTTTGTTATGCACTTTTTTGTTAACATTTAAATTAATTCTGCATACGTGTTATTTTAACCATTCATAAATCAAAACGTTCAATCAGACAGTGTGCTATAACTTTTAGTCTTTGGAACGTCTATAATTGTACAAATATTTACCATTATTTACACATTTACAAAACATTTTCCAAAAGAAATGACAAAGATCTTTATTTTCTTTTAAAAAGCTGCTTCAGCGTTATGGCTCTTTTTTCTTGTTATGCTATGTTTAGCTTTCAGCTAAAAAAATAAAAATAAAAAGCATAACAATAGCATAATTGCATTACTGCTTTTAGCACGTTGGGCTTCTGCCCGGGCCGGACCGCGTCTGGAACAGAGTTCTTTATCTCAGTGGAACTTGCCTGCTTGAATAAAGGTTAATAAAAACAATCAAATGAATAAATTAGCTTGTTTTTTCCCCCTAAATTTAAGTTTCTGATACAGTTTGGCTGATTTTAGCATTAACCTTGCAAATTTAATTTTATAGCATCAATTTTTTAAATTTAGTTTTTTCTTATGATCTCACTGACTTACCTTTTAGTACATGTTTTTCTGTTTTTAACTATATTTGGTAAATTTAGCATAAAGCTAGTACTGGGTTAATTTCAGCTTGGTTTTGTTAGTTTAGGATTTTAGCTCCTATTTAGACATCTTTTTGTTTTAGCTACTGTTTGGCTAACTTTAGTGCGGTTGTTAATTTCTCTCATTCTTTACGTTGTCTAATCACTTATATTTATTTTAATTTTAACTAGACCTATATATTTATTCAAGTCATTTTAACAAATATTATTTTAAGACAGTTAAAACTTATAAAATAGAGTAAAAAAACAAAACAAAACTGAAGTCCTTTGGAGTACTAACAGTATTTTAAATGATTACATTCAAAAGAGATGTTTTTAATTATTAGTTTTAAAACAAATACCTTTTCACTACTTTAGTAGA